AAAGTACTTTTACAAAACATCTATGCCAATTGGTAAACATTGACTATTGGAGGCCTAGGCTAGCGGTTTGTGAATACCGGCACAATTTTCTATTTTGCTTGAAGAACGAAAATGAGCAACATAGGACACTTGTCAGCCTGAAAAGAATTCATTTTTAGGAAAAAAGCTTCATGGCAATATTTTCTCATTCTGCCTATTTTTACCCATTCTTGTCCATTTTAAAATTTCATCTTGGGTAAGAATGAGAAAGAATGAGAATTGAACCAAACATGGCCTAAGTTACGGCCCATTTGGCCCACAATGACCAGATACATGAAATCCTTAGCCCAACCAAATTTCTAGCCTATGGGCTTCATCCTCTTCAATTTTGGGCCCACTCGAGCTCTCTGATATGTTGACTTGACAATCATCGGCCAATATGGTTTATTTATAAGGCCCAGCAATTCCCCTTCTTTACTCGTTCCTACATGGCCCACTTTACTCACACCCACCTGGTCATCCACTAAAATGTCAAGTTTCTTTTTGCTAAGGTCTTGAGCCACGGCAGGCTTTGTCTTTTGGCGGTTCAGGTTCTTTATTAGTGAAACCTGTAGCCCAAACCCATGCTACCACTTGTCAATACCTTAGCATATGATTTGAATCCCATCTCCCCAATCTTCCCTCCTATTTGTTCCCCTGTTTTATCCTCTGACACCTTTCCAACTTCATTCCCTAAACTTTCCTTATTAAAGTTTTGGCCAAATTTGAATCCACCAATCCAGATAGTCTGCGTAGCCAATCTCCCTCAACCTGTTCATCTTCCTCCCTTCTTCCTTCTCTCCACAGAGAAGCTTCAATGGCTGTTACTAGCCATACAGAATAAAAAACACCGTCAACCATCACCTTAATCATACAAGGAATATCTTCAGGAGAAACATTACTCAAAGAGACAGCTGCTGAACGGAGGTCTCTGCCGAATACACCATCCAACCGAGATTTGCACAAGACAGCAATGGATTCAAACACCTCTTTTGTCCAGAAATGAAACGGAAGTCCCACAATCCGAACTATTACCTTGTCTTGGACATTCAAGTCTTCGAAATTGAATAGAGGGGTCCACTTAGATATAGTCACCATTCCTGCTTCCAGATGTAAGCATGGAGCATGTAGTTCAAATTCCTCCCCTTCTAGCTTTAGCAGGGCTTTGCTTTTCTCAAAGGGAGTTATAATAATAGTGCACTTTAAGTTTAATTTCTTCAGTAACTCATAACCAACCTTCTTCCAATCAGTCAATGGAGCTGTAGAAAATACTATGAATTTTTTCTCCCAATCTGACTTGGTATATGTTTGGTTCTGTGGGCGTTTATTGAAAAAATGCTGCCACATCAGCACCACATAGGCGTTGGTGTTTATTGCATATGAAACCACTGTTTGGTTTCATCGTTTATCAAATAAACACTAGAAAACTGAAACGCTTTGATTTATGTGCATGGGGCATTTGGGGAAACGTCAAATTCATGTTTCCCCCAATGCCTGGGCATTTCTTGAAATGAAATGCTGATGTGGCACACTTTATCTGAGGTGGAAAGCAACTTTATGGGGTGTTACTTGAAATGCCCATAAAATGTCCAACCAAATAGAAAAAGCAAAAAATGTTTAAAGTAGCATTTTTCAGATAAACGTTTATCTAAAAAAATGCCTCTCGGAAAACTCCCACAGAACCAAACATACACGTAGTAGTCCTGAGGATTAACCTACAATCCTTAGCAGTTTGTCCCACAGCAATCATCCCTTCTGCCTCTTTGAAAGGCACCTGCTCCTTCCTCCTTGCAGAGACTACGCTGGGATCAAGTTTCTCTGGTGTCTCAGAAGTTTCTTCTCTAATAAATTGCAGATTTTCTCCCCTGACAGAGAAAGTCTTCAAAACCTCTGATACCTCTTCCCAACCAGTCATTTGTTTTCCTTCTGGGAAACAGACCATTTGCCTGCCTGTATTCCCAAAAAATTCCACTAGCACCACAAACCTTCCTTTAGCATTCTTCCTCCTTTCTGCTACATATCTCCTACCACAGCCTTCTATTGATCCTTTACATTCCAGCTTCAAACTCAGTTGAGTGGCTTCTTCCAAGAATGTCCTGAACCACACTATCACCTCCTCTCCTACCAGGAATACCATAGCCATTTTCATTTCTCTGATTTTAATGGCCACTTCCCCCTTCACTCTGAAAGTTTCCAAGAGGAACTGTTTTGCTTCAACCTTCAGAACCCTTCTCCATGGTACTGCCTGTACGAACTTACCTTTCTCCATGGCCTCCAATGTCTTAACATGCAATATTAAAAACAGTCTTTCCACATCATCACCATTACAACATTATGGAGTTTCTTTTCAAACAAAACCAATAACTAGTATCCAAGCATCATTTTATCACTAGTGATTAACAGAATCTTCTACCAAAATTTTTAACCAAATAAACCAAAAACAGAAAAACAAAAAGGGTCAAGATTTTACAGGGCTATGTCAGAAATAAAAAATAAAAAATGCAAAAAGGACAAAAGCTTCATTCCGTTATAGGATCCATTATTATTGAAGTTGGCAATAACCTTGTCCAGTAGAACATCAGAAAGTTAAAATCACACTGAGTTGAAATTTCCCCATTTCCCTAGGGGTGAAGTAAAATGTAAACCTCTTGAAATTAAAAATTCCCAATATCTCCCTAATATTTCAAAAGAAAATCGAATCAGAAAATTTTTTAATTTATTGTGGAAAATGTTCAAAATTTTAATATAATATTGGAGAAATTTTACCAAAATCAATTGGAAACTATCATGAGGCATAAAAATACCCAAACCCACAGTTTTATATATAATTGATTTGTTGATCTAGAACTTTGAATTAACAACTCTAATTGGCTTTCTACGAATATTAAGCTCTTTTTAAAAAAATAGCTAAATAATTAATTTTTATAATAAGTGCAGTATTAATTATAAAAAGACCATTACCTTATGTTGGTCCCAGCTATCTGGGGTCTTGGGAGGGGAAGAATGGACACAGTCCAAACCTCTAGCATTTTTCTGCACAAAGTGGCTGGTCTCAGGCTAAAACCCGCATTCTCATGCTTGCCAGCCCTAGATTTTACTATTACACCAAGCAATGGCCCCTAATTGTAGTGTTAATTAATTTTTAATACTATTGCTATAAAATTATGTGGTTTTTAAGAAAAGTCACTTTTCATTCTTCCCCATTATGTTGTAGCATTTTTACTGTTCAGGTGCCCATTATCTTTATTACCAGCTTCTACAATTTATACACATATAAGAAAGAAATATGGCAGAGGTTATAGCTTCAACATTAAGGTATGGTTTTCCTGCTATGATAGTGCTGTTTCCTTCACTATTCATGTTTGGATATTTATGGTTGTAATGTTGTATAACATGAATTGTATGCATTTTGAATTAAATGTTCATGAAAGGCTATCATATTACAGTATATTTCCAATTCATCCTTTACACTTTGTGCCAATTATTTGGTGGTGGATCAATCCCATCTTCCGTTGCAATCAAGCAAAGGCCACTATTACCCAAAAAAGGTTACAACGTCCTGTAGTGCATATAGCTTCAGGTAGAGATAATGTTAGAGTCCACCTGAGAAACAGGCATTCAGGAATGAGAAAAAGATTGAATGCTTGGATTCTTATTTATAGAATTTTTATTTGCAATACTGAATTCTGTTTCCTCCTTCTATGTAGACAATTTTTTTATATTAAAATTCAAAAAAAAGAATCTTGGACCAACAAAACAATATGGCAAACAAATGATTTTTCAGCAAATTAAACAGCAGATCCACCAACCACCTTTGTTTAAGTTCACAAGAAGTATTTGGGGCAAGAATTTTGCATCTACTCAGTTAAAATGCATCAGCGCAAGAACTAAGGTACAGCTTGTTCAACATTAAATGGTCAAGCCATCTGATGCCTCTGGAAGATGCTGTCATACGCATTATGCCAGTTCATTCAGTGGATGGATTATATGCATTTTCAAGGACAAGTTTGGTGTGAGAGGTATAGTAGTTGAATAATATTCCATGAGTCCCCTATTAATCAACAAAGTAATTTCTTCTGTTAGCCCTAATACCAGGCAGGATACCATGTTTTTAGTAAAATCTTCCAAAGCAGTTTGTAAAGGTTCCCCTTATGAGAACCAATGCTGCTGCAACCTGTTAATCCTCTTTCTTCCATCAAGTGATCAAGAGTGCTTTCTGATAATATTGTCCATTTATCCTTTTGTCAAAATATAGAAGTCTGTCACTTGCTAGACCTTGCTCGGCATAATATGTTAACATATCCAACAGTTTTTTGGAAAGATATTTCAACATGTCTTGTAACATATACCATGCTTCAGTTTTATTTCTAATATACTATATTAACAATAAAAATTCATCCTTCCACATTTTTCAAAACCTGCTTGTGAAGCATATAAGATAAACTATCCAGTTTTCATTTGTTTCTTTTGTTGTTCTGAACCCCAATTCTTATCACAGAACACAGATAAGTGAGAAATCCTTTATACTTCCCAAATGCTTACAAAAATTTACTTTTACTGTAACCTTGCCCAGCCTCACTTGTCATAAGGGAAATTGAACTTTGCATTTCTAATCCTCTACCCTAAGATCCTTTCATAAACTTGCAAAAACACTAGCAGATATGTTTGAAGTTTGAAACTCCTTGGTATTTTAGTACACTTTTTTTCCACTTTTTCTTTCATCTAGACTTGGACCTTTTAAAATCATGAAAGATCTCAATTTAACTGTTCTGCTTTCCTATAAAAAGATGCCAATATTAGATCTCCATTAGACATCCATACTCATTTTGCTGGTCCTTTCTCCAGGTTCGTTCTTTCCATTTTCAAAGTTCTAGTTTTGTATGTGGAACAAAAAACTAAGAAAATGCACAAACTTATGGAATACATGGATATTCCAGACAATTAGGGTCTAGATGTAAGAAAAACAGTAAGTAGCAGGATACCTTACGGTGTGACTTCCAGACTTTCATGGCCATGAGAGCTTGTTCAGTGTCAATGCTGCGATGTAGAATGTGAACTTTGAAAAATGAACTATGAGGCTTTAGAAGGAACCACTGCTCTTCCAGTGAATAGTATGTTGGAAGGAAAACCAAAATGCTTTTTTCAATATCTGGTTCATTTTTATGAATGTGCAATACCAAATCATGGATAAGTTTTTGCGCTTCAGGCTTGATGTCAGCGTCAGAAGATGAAGGGCTTGGACCAGAACAGTATCGATCTGATAAGTTATCAAAATTCATTCCAAGAACTTCAACAACCTGTTTAGCCATAAGTAGATAACTATCAAATTTTCTAATTCAATAAAGAATACATACCATTACAAAATGTTGGTCCCAGCTAATCTGGGGTTTTGGGAGGGGTGGATTGGATACGGTCTTAACCTTATCATGTATTCCATAAAGAATACATGCATGACATCATTAAAGGAGAACAATATGCAAAGAGAATCTAGAAGCAACAGAGATATAAAATACCAAACAACAACCTTATCTTGTAAAAAAAGTGTTAAAACGGCAATACAGCATACTAATACAAATACACAGAATTCTTAAAATAAATCAAGAACGCTCTTATTCTAGCAGTCATCAGACACTTTTGCATGTGTGGTTCAGATCAACTTTCAGTATTGAAAAGTTAACTCAAAATGCATGCAATTCATGATATACAACCATAAATATCCAAACATGAATAGCAAAGGAAACAACACTATAGTAGGAAAACCATACCTTAATGTGACACAGAACAGCAAGAATTTAAAGAGAAAAAGATCTAGGAATCACTCCTTGAGGGTTTAGGCCTCACACCCAACCAAGCAAACAAATGGTAAAACATAATGGGGAAGAATGATATCAAGTTAGAGGTATTAGCTAAATTTAACTAAATTCCCTATATTATTATGCATTTTCGTTAAGCCCTTAATTTTGTTGGACTGGGAGAAGGCTATTAAGCTACTCCCAATCACAGCCTTAAAAGAGAGAGAGAGAGAGAGAGAAGACTTTCTTTCCAACTTGATCTTTTAAGCCCAATCAGTCCTATGGGTGAGCTGAAACAATTTAGGAAGGAAAGGGGCCTGCAAGTCCAGTTTAGTGAATAGCAGGCCCTAAGTTAATTGGACCTTATTTATAATGCAATAAGCATTTAATGGGCTTACAATAGAACCCATTTAATGAGACCAGCAGGCCCTAAAAGAATTAAATTTATATTAATTAATAATCTTGTGAGGTGTCCCACTTATTTATAAAGGGGATGTCACTTGTCTTATCCTAACAAAAGGGCTATTTTCCCACCTTTAGCCACTTGAAGTGAGGGGACACATGTCACCCTAGGGGAGAGAGTTATTTTCCCTCCTCTAACCACTTTAAGTGGGGTGACACATGTCACCCTATGAAGAGAAGACTCTTATCCCTCCTCTAGCCACTTTAAGTAGGGTGACACTGACACATATCACCCTAAGAAAAGGGAGTTAGTATCCTTCTTTTAACCACTTTAAGTGGGGGGACACATGTCACCCTAGGAAGGAAGAGTTTTATTTTCCCTCCTTAACCCATTTTAAGTGGGATGACACTTGGCACCCTAAGAAAAGAGGAGAAAAGGAAGAAAAGGAGAAAGAAGAAGGTAGGATTGAAGTATTCCTCCTCCACCTCTTCACTATGATTATGATACTCTTGCAATTCCCACTATGAGAACTATGTATTTCCTTATATTTCTTTCACACTTTCTTTCTTTATTGTTTTTTTTTTATTTTTCTCTCCTTGTCTCACATCTAATCATATGTAAGGGAGACAACCATCTACAGCATTGTTCATGAAACTTGGTTGATTATGGTTCCTCACACCATATCCACCTATAAAATCATTACTTTATGTGAAGGCCACTTACAGTCTCATTCATGAAATATGACTATTTATGATCCCTATTTGATGGTTATACATAAAAAGTTCATGTATTTGTATTTGTTGGTTTTCTCTCAAACAGAGGAAATATATACCAGAATTTTCAAAGGAAAATGCTACTTTAACATATGCATTCGTACTTCTAAATCAGAATAAAGAGGTTTTCTCTGCCCCTAGCAGAGATGTAATTAAGGGAACATCTACGTGATTTCCTAAATGGGACTTACCCAAATATCAAAAAACACAGTTATTAATCTAATTGGATGAATCATGTTATGTGAGAAACTTTACTAAAAAAATTTCCACCAAAAAATCCAGTCAAGATAAATTTCTAAAAAACATATTAGAGAACTACCAATTTCTAAGATCCCACAAGAAAGGCCATTATGATCCAGATCAATAAGCATCTGCAAATGAGATAATAGCTCATCTAGATGCAATCTTTTCATCAATAAAATATCTTTAAAGCAAAGATATTTTATGCCAAGACAATTTTCATGTTTTTTGGTACACAAAAAAGAAAAGAAAAGAAAATGCTAGTACCCCATCCATTGGGCCATGGAGGCCTTCTATGCCAAGGAAGTTTTCAGTTTGCACAATCGCATTGTACAAGAGATCCAAGAAATTGGTCGTAATAAAACAATACCAGATGCAAATAATAAGCACTCAAGCACGTCATAAAGCTATGCATCACAAAATGAAGAAAATAAATAAGTATTTACCTGTTCAAGATATAGAACTTTTCGTTGAAAGATTGTTTGTTGCGTGGAATTGGGAATCGCAAGCACTTCTACCCTCTCATCCCTACCAAGATCCTTGAAATAATCCTTGTATCTTGCAATATCTGCTGTAGCAGACATTAACACTACCCTAAAACATCATGGAAAATATCAGACCCGCAAACAACAGAATTCAAGATGCACTGGACATAAGCAGCCAGCTAAAATTTTGTAGTCAAAATGGAATTATAAATAATCCACCTGTTAAGAAGTTCAACTTGACAAAAAACAAACAAGTAAAAATGACAGAAGGCACTTAAACACAATGCTCAAAAACTCAAACAATATAAAATGACAAAAAAAAGGTAATTGGGAAGAAAGAAAAAAAGAAACTCTAACCTTAAATCATTGTTTCTCGGCACAAATTGCTTTACACATGTAAGAACAAGATCAGACTCCACGGATCTTTCATGTACTTCATCAAGAATGATAACCTTGTATTTAAGTGCTGTTACCCCCCTATCTCGCATTTCATCCAATAAAACCCCAGCAGTTTTAAAGACAATTCTTGACCTTAAGTATAACCAAAAACAATATCAAGGTGTATACCAACTGTTAGCAATTGGATAGATATAAGGTGCATTAATGCTTAAGAGGAAAAAACTGACATGTCAACAAAAGAGTAGAAGGAACAAAACAAAGTAACAAATGCGACTTTCACAATTTTTGAGCAAAAGAGGATGTAAAAACCAAGGATTAGAAAATAACAAATAAAACATTTGAGCCATTTTGTGTCAAATGAATAAAACATTGCTCTTCATTATCCCTTTTGGAAGATACACGCTGAATTACTAATATATATTAAAAGAAGAAATTTTAATATTTATCTATTAAACAAAAAAGGTTGACACTGAGTCATTTAAGGATATAAAGAAAAACCTACATGTTGTATTGAACTTCTAGACATTCCTCTGAAATACACTAAAAGGAACTTGAACTGATCTGATAGAAAAAATACTAAACCATGGCACAGGTACAATGTGCAATCCTTTGCTAAAAATGTAACAGCTTTACAGAAGTATAGAAGATGAGGGATCATTGGCAGACTTGAGTAGTACTTCTCTGCTTTTTAACATTCCATCTAATAAAACAAGATGACTAGTTTTAAAAATGTTATCTTGTTGAACCAAACTGTCTAGAGTAATTGCCTGTTGCCTACGTGCCAGAACACTCCTTCCACATGCAAACACTGCTGTGGGATGTAAAAATAAAATAAAATGAAATGAAATAAAAGACAAAAAAGACTCGTTTATAAAGATGTTGATCAGATCTCAATCTGAAGCAGAAGCTATGAGTTTCAAGTCTTCTACTCTACTTGTGTCCGAATTTTACAATTGATTTTCGTATAGTTGGAAGGTTATTTAATAGTCTATCCAACAAGTTCAATTTCGGACATTATCTCAAAGAGTTGTGACCAAAACAAAATCTACGAATTGGCTTGTTAAAGAATCAATATTTGAATTTTAAAATATAATTCCAATTTGTTCTATGAATTTATTTGTTGAATTAATTTTTGAAGTGATTCTAAAGGAAAATTGCAGCGAACTCCATATAATTGGAACAAGATTTAGTTGAGTTGAGTATTCTAAAGAAAAGTTGCATCTAGTAAACAAGTTTATTAGTCTAACTGTCAACAGGTTTTAGGAGCCAGTGTATGTTTCCAAGTCTTATCGGATTCAGATAAATCAGATTTCTTATCAGATCGGATTGGATATATCTTTTTCCGAATCTGATCCGATTCGTTTGCAGCCCTACTTTTTAAGTCTTTCAAAGTCCTTGTATTTTGTGGTTGTAGAAGACAAATGATCAGGATCCACAATTATAAGAGTTTGACAAAAGTTTCAATGCCTCCTGCCAACCTAATTCAACCCTCTTCCTTCATCTGGGCTTAGGACTGGCAGAGTTGGTAGAAGACAAATCCAAATAAAAAAATAAGGATATCCATTCTTTTGTTATTTTGGTTTAGTGTGATTCCATGGCTCCATGCAACCTAGAAACGTAATCTTCTGGTTATTCAAGAAAAGATGTTATGGCATCTCCATTGCCCCCCGAGTCCCTGACTGTCAAGCGTTATATTGTAATATTTATTTATGTCTCCTTGATATCTTTTTTTATTACTTCATTCATAAATCAGTAATTCTTTGAATGCTTTAATTTGAGGAACCTAAACTTTCAAGTTTTCCTGTAATGCACCCAATTTAAGAGAGAAAGAGTTTACTGAAATGGTTATGTATTTCAAATGTCTTTCCTAAGATGTGCATCAGTTGTCCAGAGGATATAGAATTAAATGTGCTGCATTTATTAGACTGCAAATTTGCTCAAAAAAGCAGTTGTCCTTATTAGGAGTTATGTAGATGATGCATAGCCAGCTAAGAGGCCATTTGATAAATTATTGTTTTGTCTTTTAGTGGATAAATTATTCAAGAGGTTATAAGCACCTTAAGAGCTGAAGGTAAGGTTAGGTTGATTACTTTACCTTGGAATGTTTTATTACTTAATTACTTTAACCATAAAAGGCAGCTTTTTTTATAATGCCATAAAAGGCAGTTATTAAATTCAGCCATTATCAAACGGCTCCTCAATCTTGTTACCAGGTTGAGGCACGGACATGACATGAGCAACAGAATTTGTATCAGCAGGGGATGGATTCTTCTACCATAGCCCAGAACATCCCAAAGAAAATAAGCCTTGAAAACCCTTGATGGAAAGCCTATGGTTCATGACATTATCAATGGTGGTGTACAATTAAAATTTTTTTGTGGTTAATCCTTCAAGAGTTTGGAGACATCTATTTTACTTGGTTTACTGCAGAATGTGAAATCACAGTTGATGAATCTAAATAATCTTCTACAGTGGCCCTAACTCCGTTAGCTTCACCCTGTGCTTAGGTTGCATAAAACTTTTTCTTCCTTTTTTTGAATCAATAAAACTTCTTCTTGGTTTCTAGCATGTTTTATACAATCTTCACACATGAACAAAAGAGTGAAAAGACGAAAGAGGACCAAGGTTCCAAGCCTTTCTTTAGTTATTACCTACCTTCTTAAAGCCATGCAGATCAACCATCCAAAAGGTCAACCAAAAGAAATGCTACACCAATTTGCTGATCTTATTGCTTTGCAAATAGATTATGCATTCTATATAAAAAGTTATGACTCTCTCAAAGTGGAAAAATGGACCACCATTTCATTCATGAAAACAGCATATACATAATTGTCAAAAGCCCATCTCCATGTAATAGAAGAGCTGCAATACTCCAGTACGGGTAACTAAAAAGCCAGTTCATACTTAAATGTTCTAGCAACCTGATGTCAGCCCTAGCCCTGGACCCTACCAACAAGTACCCTGCTGCTAACTCTGAGCCACCAGGTTTCCTTCAATTAGTATATTGCAGTTAGAGATTGAAACTTTTTAGATGAAAATCCAATCATATTTGTACAGTTACATCACATAAAATGTTTATTAGCATTTCTCTAATAATAATCTGCAGTAGAGATAAATAATTTTCAGGGTAAGAACTACATAACCAATAAAGAATATTCAGCAGGAAGGGTAAATTCAATCAGGGAAAAGACTAAAAAATTACCTCTCTGACATAACCTTGGAGTGACCAATGTGATATCCAACCTCACCTCCCACCTCACAATTACGAATTTTTGCTACCATTCTTGCAACAGCAACAACAGCAAATCTTCTAGGTTGTGTACATAATATGGGCTCCACACCTTTTTCTAGAAGAAACTGTGGGACTTGTGAGCTCTTCCCTTTGGAAATTAATAAAAGAAAATATAGAAACAGAACACAAATGAGAAGGTTTGAAGTTTAGACAATTAAAGGAAAAAGGAGAAAAATAAATAAACATTTGAATGCATAAAGACCTAATGAAGAGATCATAGAGGACCAAGCAAATTATATCTAATAATGCAAATAATAACCAAATACAAGCTAAGATAGATGGGAACAAAGGGTCCTCTGTCACTTTTACCAAGATTTGTAAGAACTCTACTCCTTTTTTTTTATAATTGAAATAATTTTATTAATCAGCAATAGACAATAGTACAAAGTCCCCAAGGAAAGGCACGAGTTGCAACCTCTCCAGGCTAGTTAAGTACAGATTTCCAAATTAATAACAACTTACATAGAAGCACAAAAAAGATCTTCCCTAGAAACCCCCTGTTTGACTAAAGCATCAGCCAAAGAATTAGCA